TTTGAAACGCAAATCAAAAAACAAATTTAGGGCCATTTTTTCTATTTCCATTTTTGAATCAAAAATCGGACAACCAATTTAATGAACCTTATTAAAAAAACTATTGCATTTTCTGACCCAAAATTTAGTTTTCGGGGAAAGGCCTTAAATTTCTGTATTTCCATTTTCAATTTTCAATTTTTACACTTTTCAGTCTGTGACCCGGAAATAAAATAATTGACGGATTCATCCACCTTGCAGGAAGCACAGGAAGCAGTGCAGTAGCCTAGCTTAACTAACTTCAGCGTGGTGTAGGTCTACAAACAACCTGTATTTTGTCGGTGCGGTAACAATTCATCGTGCACAATGGACTCAAACAAAAGGTTAACGCTTAATGAGGACGACATGATTGGAGATAAAATTGCCAGAATATTCCAGGTAGGTAACATTTTTTTCGTTTGCTTGGAGAACATGCTAACGATGCTATGCGTAGCACACGGCTAGCCGACTCATTAAGGCTCCTCAATGTAAGATAATTGAAATTTAACAAAGAGAGAGATGCGATTTTTAAACAGAATTGAAGCCCATACTGTGTTCTTGGTCTGTCTACATGACGGCCGCCATCCTCGATTTCCCACACTTATTTCTTGGTATTGCTAAGATACTTATAGCTTGGGCGAATTTTTCACGCTCCAAAGCTTTATCAAATTGATGACGCTCATTGGTCTAAATTACCGTTGCTATGTGTTTTTTTCTTCTCAGCACAGTCTAACCATGGTGGGGCGACTTTTCTAGCGCCCCAGTGAGAGAGTGGAAATGGACACGTGGACCACAAAATTACCCCATGAATTATGTTTAATATTATATATATGGCTCGTTCTTTGATAATTCAAAACACCATTTATTTGTAGAATAAAGCAGTAATATTATATTCTTGAACCGATTTATTTGGCAAAAAATTAAATAAAAAAGTTAAAAGAATCACTTTCCATCAGGTGAGGCGCCTACCTGCGCCCAATATTGGCCAGCGCCACTCCAAATAGCATTTCTACATTACATAGTCAATTAAAATCAACTAATGGCCCATAGTTAATTAACCCTATCGTAAAGTAGAAATACATTTGGATTTATTTAATACCAATATGATATAGCAGTGGCAAGAAAAGATTAATAACCTTTTGGAACTGTCATGGTTTCTCGAATAAATTTGTCAATAAAATCTGATCTGATCTTCAATCTAAGTCAGGGTAATTACAAATAATGTGTCTTAACAAATAATAAACCACAAGAAAAAATCTGATCTTTCATGTCTTTATTGAACACACTCATTCCAACATTCAAAATGGCAGTGGAAAAAGTCAAGTTGAAACCCATAGAATTTAATAACTGGTGACCCCCCCTAGCAGCAAATAACCTCAACCAGAGCGCTTCCTGTAGCTCTGGATCTAGAACGCTGCACACACGATCGTTGAGGGGAATTTGCCACATTCTTTTGGCAGAAACTGCTTAAGCGCCTTCTGCCAAATTCTGTTGATCCGTCTCAATGTGTATGGCTCTCTTCAAGTAATCCATAGCATTTCTATTGGGTGAGGTTCTGGCTTGACTTGGGCTTACACTTCCATACAGGTGAGTTTGACCATTCTGTTGTGGACTTGCTCCGGTGTTTTGGGGTCGTTTTCCTCGTTGCATTCACCCATTTTCTAGAGAGTTCAGCTGCATTGCTACAAGACTTCTCAGATTATTCCTGAGATTCTCTGAGTTAACTGGGAAATTTCATAACATCCCCTCGAGATGATCTGCAAGCTGGCCAGGCCTGATCAACCAAGCGCCCAATCATTAGCGTTTCCTCTCGACGATTTTTCTTGTATGTCCGTTGCCCATTTCTACGCCAATCATGTAGTGCTGGAGTGTTTTTCAAATAGTGTTCAAATCTTAGTTTCATTCATCCCACAACATTTTTGCCAAATACCGCTGTGGAGTGTCAAATGTGCTCTTTTGCAAACTTCAGGCGTCACTTGCAGCAAATGTTCTTTTTAGTAAGCAGTGGGCTTCCTTTCGGGCCCCTTCCTGCCGTACGATACGCTGCTTTGTTCAATGTTTTACGATAATTTTGACTCATGAAACAGAGATGTTAGCCAGTTCCAAATGATGCCTTCTCAAATCTTTGGCGGTCATTCAGGGTTATTTCTTTACCTCGATGAGAGTCTTCGTTGTGCTCTTTGGTGTCATTGTTGACTGGGCGCCACTTCTTGTAGAGTAGCAACAGACCCAAAGTGTCTCCATTTGTAGATTGTTTGCCTAACTGTAGACTGGTGAGAGAGGTATATACCACACAAGCAGCAGAAAGCAGGCAGGCCAGTGTTGAGTTTGACAGAGAGCTTTTTGATGAGAGGAAAAGAGTTCAGTTAGGTCCATTTGTTCTGAGACACAGGGCAAGGAACCCCATCAGCTCACTTGTGCCTTTGACTTTTTGGGCTTCAGTGAGGAGAAAAGAAATCGTCCTCGTCTGATGAGTGGCCGACATGCTCCATCTCATCCTCTGTCATGTGCTCAATGTGATGCTTCACATAGGCCAAAACTGTGTTAAGTGACAAATACACACAAAACACAGAATATATCACACATTGAGGCTCATTTATGTGGCAACTTAATTCAGCATAATGTTGCCATTACAAAAACCAAAAACATTTTCTACACTCATGGTAGACAAGCTCATTATTTCGTTGCACTCGTACTGTATGATATTGGTCGAAAGCTCTTCTTTAAAGTGGCTAAATGTTTTGTTGCTGGCCCTGTGCACAGCAGTACACTGCTTTGCTTCATATGCTGAAGAAAGTGGAGACTCCTCTTCTCCAAACTGTGTGTGACCAGCATCTACAGTAGGTGATACACTGACTATGTAGTTTATACATCCCCCATCAATAATCCAAATGATAACCTTTAATAATATAATAATAATAATAATAATAAGTGATGAAAATCATACCTGCTTCTATGATGTTTGCCTTCTCAGTCCAAGTAGTCTTGAATTTGAATCAGTTCAGGGTCTTCCATCATCCCACCAAAGCGCTTCTGGACACCAACCTGAAAGGCCTCTGATTAGTGGGTAGGCACACCTTGCAGATTACTTTCCAGTCGTCCGAGTTTTGCTTCTAACTGGAAGATCACTGGCAGCAGCCATCCCATGTGTTGTTCGCGTCTCAGACTGAAGGATGTTAATGCCTTTGTCACAGGTTTCATCACTGTGCCAGTTCTGTGTCAAGAAGCGATTTCAGCTGGACTCAGACCTAATATGACATAAAGAAAATATCAACAGATAAATATTATGTTAAATTAGAATTTTTGCCACAACCAAAAATTCACAAAACCAACAGCCAAACCACTCTGTGCTAAGGATTACCATCTCATGAGCACTACTGAAAATATTGATACTTTGTGGTCATTTTTTATGATAAGAAAGTCCACTCATGCTCTATTTCAGACT